GAACACCTTTAAAGATTTGAGCCCAAATAAAACCCAAATTCAAAAGCCCGAATAATACAATTGTGCATCGTTTGGTGTATATAAACATGTTCATCTCTTGCCTCTCACGGTTCGCTGATGGATGAACAAAATCCCCAGAAAAGCTTGGTCTAAAGAGACGTCTTTTTGCTGGAAAGAACAAACATTAGCATTGCATTGTCTTTTTCTGTAAGATATGCAGACATTTTTTCCAGCAAGCTAATGAATTTTCATGTTTGGCCCAAGTTGTTAGCATTTTATTATGAACAACAGAGTTCACTTCTTTCTCAATGATGGCCTGATTCACTGAGGCCACAGGGGCCAACAAATGAAAGACTCCTCATGTTCACAGTGGAACACATCGCAAAATAATGACAACTCTGATGACAGAGAACAGGCTGTGTATTGACTGAATACAAAGGCCACTAAGTGATCCATAAGCAGCTGTTATCATTGTCTCATTGTCCCAATATGCTGATTCCAGACGACAGAGGAATGTGTGTGTGTGTGTGTGTGTGTGTGCTGTGTTTTCAAAACCTTATTCAGTGTATTTAGTATACTGTTGATTTTCACCCTTACATATGTCAGCGTCCACATATAAACATTATATATGCATCCTCAAACGTGCATTTTTTGCGATGCAAAAAGCAGATAGCGAGAGAATCACTTGCTTCATTCGGGTCCTTGGCTGCGACTCTGGCATGATGAAGCTTACTTGACTTCTCTGCAATGTCAGTCATGCACATTTTAAACAGCCAGGGAATAATGTTGGCTTTATGTGTGCGTACCAGCACCAAATGCAAATAAGATCTCAAACAAACACGGGTCTTTGCTGCTTTGTCCTCGGTGAACACATAACTCAATGTTGTTTTATGCAACTTATATTCTGGACGGTAAAATGAGTACTAGCTGCAATATTTGTTCATTTCTTAAAAGTATCAATATTAAGTTTAAAGAAAAATACTAGTTCATTTGAACCTGTGCTATTGCATTAATCTTTCTATTGTGATTCCAAGTCAGACACGAAGTTGCAAATTAGTGTATCATCTCCTGTAACGTTAGAGGTTTTATAACATTTTGATATTCCTATAGTAGCAAATATTCATCCATCCAAGAAGAGATGCCCTGAATTCCTTTCTGGAAGAATTCCTTCCTTGTCCCAAACAGCTCTGCTGGCTCGTTCTGAAGCAGAGCAGCAGCAGATCTACTCTGAGCTCCTCACCTTATCCCAAAGGGTAAACCCAGACACTCTTTAAATGAAGCCCATTTTCTGATCCCTACTCACAGTTTGGAGAGGGTAGCAGTGTAGATAACACTAAATCAGCAGGCTTGCCTTGTGATTTAGCTCCCTTTCTCAACAGTCCTATACAGCGTCCACATTACTGGAAATACTGCACCAATCTCTCCGCCAACCTCCGGTTTTATTCTTTCCTCATTTCTGAACAAGAGACTGAAGGTCTCCGACTTCAAGCAGCAAGCTCCATAATCCAGTGAACAATCTATGCTTTTCCATCTGAAATCCATTAATTTGAAAATTCACATTCACATCCCAGCCACTTCATACTCAGCAGCAAATCTCCCAGTGCAAACTGGAGGTCACAGGACCACATCACCTACAAGGAACAGACACAACCCACATAGCAGACAGGTCTGGCCCAGATCTGGTATCAAGTCGGCACTGCTGGCTGACTTCTGGCATGATAAGATGTATGTCATTCAGATATGGGCCAGGCCTGGCATAGATGGCACTGTTTATGTGATGGCATGCCACATCTGGCTCGATTGTGGTTTGGTGTATGTGGCCCAGGCTCATAGAAAACAAGGTCTGGCCTGAATCCGGCATCAAGCTGGTACTTCTGACTGACTGGTGTCATGGCAGGGTGTATGTCAACCAGATGTGGACCAGGTCTGGCAATGATGGCACTATTTATGTTCCTATTTTCCTATTTTAGTTAGAAGACCCAAATGCCATGTAGCAACACTATACTGCTATGGTAGCCAATGTTTCAAATGCACGTTTGACAGGTTTGTGAGTGTACACTTTATCCAAAACCTAATGAAGGTTTACTCATGTTTGCCAGTGGATGGCTGTAGCTCAGCAGGTAGAGCAGGCCACTGACTGATTGGAAGGTTAGTGGTTCGGTCCCTGACTCCTCCAGTCTGCATGTCGAGAGTGAATGTATATGAATGTAGTTAGGAAGCACTCAGTTTAGAGCAGGGGTGTCGAACTCCAGGCCTCGAGGGCCGGTGTCCTGCAGGTTTTAGATCTCCCCCTGGGTCAACACACCTGAATCACATGAGCTACAGTTCATTACCAGGCCTCTGGAGAACTTCAAGACATGTTGAGGAGGTCATTTAGCCATTTGAATCAGCTGTGTTGGATCAAGGACACATCTAAAACCTGCAGGACACCGGCCCTTGAGGCCTGGAGTTTGACACCTGTGCTTTAGAGGAAGTGTGTGATTGGGTGAATGTGACATGCTACATAAGAATCAGTCCACTCGCTGTCTGAACAGAGTTTAGTCATGTTACTTTTGCACTATTATGCTCCGGCACATGGTGTTATTACATGGCTTGATTAATGCACACATTAGGCTGACATCTGGGGCCAGAGCTGAAACTGTTCTAGGCCAGCACAGGGCCAGCAGTGTGTCTGCAACAGGCCTTGTGCTGGCCCATGTGTGGGCCACCTCTGGCAAAACAGATCTGGGCCAGCAAAGGGCCGTCATTCTTTGTGGTATGTGGGCCATGTGTAAGCACATTGTGTGGGCCAGATCCGGGCCATACCAATATTGCTATGTGGGAAGAGACTGAGATTACCAAACCTAACAGCCTACATGTCTTGGATGTACCTTTACTGCTAAATATTATGAAGTGAATTTGAAACGTCTTTATGTTGTCATCCAAGCTTCTATGTTTGGTGCAGATTTCAGTTTGACAGATTCCACTGCACACTTTAGCTAACAAACTAGCTGATGCAGAGTGGCACAAAAGGAAAGGTGACGATGAAAGAAGACAATATAAAAAACATGAAGAAAAGATAAAACGTCTGCAAGAAAAGCTTGAGAAACAGGTTGTTGTGAGCTAGCAGCAAGGCAGCCTAATTATGGCACTGTAGCAGTACTGGAATGGTGCCGTGGGTAAGGAGACTGACTTGACTGGTTAAGGCCTTCATGTGGGTCACGTCGTACACACAAAGCATCTGTGATTTAGTAGTTAACACTAGCTGTGACTTTAAAGCATTACCAGCAAAGATCCAATTTGGGCTTCTCTACGTTTTTCTTTTTTTAATACTATGCTCCAGTTTAAGTCATAATTAATGCATTTATTATTTCCTTGGCTGTAGTAATCCTGATACTAGAGAGAAAAACCACAACAACAAAATGGCCAACTCTTAGGCTGTGTGTGTGTGTGTGTGTATATATATACTTTTTTTTGCATTTTCATATCATTATGTTTTTGTATTTGTATTAGAACTGACATCCTGTCGCTTTCAGTTTGTGCCCTTCTTTTCTGCCCTTTTATATAAAATATCAAATACCATTCAAATTTACATTGACCAGCCTATTTTACACACATTACCCTGTCTTGACTGGTGTGCTTAGTGTGCAAAATATAATAAGTACATTTACACTGAATGTGACACCCCCCTCCCCCCATAAAAAACCAAACAAAAAAACCAAACAAAATAAATAAATAAGTAAGTAAAAAAATGTTTAGCTACTTTGCATGGAGTTGTGCTCACAACCCTAAATGGCAGGCTGTATCACACAAGTGTGGAGCATCACCTCGCCACATGGATCCTGGAATATTTTAACAATAAAAAACATTCTTTCAAAATATTCTCTCACTTGGTGTTTTGATTGGTGGTGCAGAGCACCGTCTTCCAGTCCCTCTGTAAGAACTGAAAATATGAGCTGCATGATTTTTATCCTGATCAAACCATTCATTCATAGTTCTCTTTGTACTGACGTGCAATGACTCGTCACTCTGAAGCAGGGGTGGCCAATTAACTTTCCCAAGGGACCACATGAGGAACTGAGGCCTCTGTCATTAGGACTGTGAATGGCAGGATTAGGACCCTGGAGACGGACCATGAACTCGAAGGGGACTTGACATTGGAGACAGAGGGGGACGACAGAGAGGACCAAAACTGAATATTATAAAACCAAAAAGAAGATCCAAAATATAAACAGACAACAAACAGAGGATATAATAATGAATCACACACTCACAGACAGCTCAAAACATTGGGTCAGAAATGCAGAAACCCTCATCCTATCTGCTTGAAGCGTCTACAGGTGCATTTCACTGTTAGTGCTTTATGTCAAAAAATGGCAAAGCTTCACACATCTGTTGTGTAAAATCCTTATGGTCGTGGTGTGCGTGGGCGTGGGTGTGAAAAGTGAAAGAGAAAAGAAACGGAGATGGAGGATGTGATGCGGGGGAGGGCCACCGAGAGTTCAGTGGCCTGTCTGGCCTTCCCCTCTACAAACTCGGCTGCGTCCTCGGGACCTCTGGGAAATGTAGTGTCCCTGACAGACAGAGCTGTTCGTTATTGTTTCCGGCTCATTTGTACACCCGCCAGTCTTCCACAGCTGCACAAAGGTGTGTATTAAACAGGATCCGATGGCGCAGTGATTCATTGCTCGCGTTAACGCGAAGAAGACCACGATAAAGTTTTCAGGTTAGACTTCACATCCCACGCTGCTTGTTGCTTCATGCGCAGGCTCTTTGAGCGAGGATGAGGAGGCGACACCGCGGAGAATGACTGGAGGGAGGCTCTGATCTGGGCTTCAAATCAGACATTTTCACTATGAGTTGCGTTTGTTTGTTTGATAAAAGTCGCGCTTTTTGAACTGGCCGAGCCTACAGTACATCTGCTCACACTGTAGGATTTATGTGGCACTTCAACAAAGGTGGTGGAAATCCTGGCAGAGAGACGCCGATAAGTTCTTTGCTTTTTTAATTTTGGGGACAGCATGCCGCGAGACAACAAAACTCCTCTCATCCAGAAAATAGCCAAACAAGCCTATACGACATTCAGAGGCTTGTCTGCCAACAGCGACAATGAAGTCGTTGAGGACAAACTTAACGGGCTAATCTCCTTGGTAACTGCCGTCAGGGCTTCCGACGTGAAAATTGCTCCTCGGAAAAACAACTCGAGCTCCGGGGCAGCGGAGCTCCAGAGCCCCCCGGTCACCTACATGCACATTTGCGAGACGGAGGTGTTCAGTATGGGTGTGTTCCTGCTGAGGAGCGGCGCGTCCATACCGCTACACGATCACCCGGGGATGAACGGGATGCTCAAGGTTTTTACACCTCTGTGTTCAGCTAACTTCGTTTAAGCTAACCAGTTGAAGCTAAACAGCCTTAACTAGCTGGACGTGTGCGTAACATACCTTTAACTTTCCACTCGAACTCACGCAGGGTTAGCAGGCTAAATAACTACGGCTAGCCCACACCTTTAAATACTTGGATGGGTGGAGTCATTTATGTCCTTTTTCCAACATGGATGCTGCGTTACACCCTTTGGCGCCTTTCTGATACAGTTA